ACATAGACCAAGAGTACAACCTTAGCCTCCACATCCCCAAGGCATCCTGAGAGACTTTTTTTTTGGTACTGGGGATTGAACTCAGGAGTGCTTAACCACTGAGCCACATGCCTAGCTATTATTATTATTATTATCATTTAATTTTGAGGCAGGGCATTGCTAAACTGCTGAGGCTGGCTTTGAACTTCCAATCCTTCTGCCTCAGGCTCTTGAACTTCTGGGATTAGAGGCATGTGCCACCACGCCCAGCCTGAGCTACCTTTGTTAATGGTGAGGTGGAGGATCATCCAAATCCAGGCAGTGGCTTGAACAAAACATTGCCAGTAACAAAAAGCATGTAAATACTGACATCTGAGTTTTAAAAATTTCTTCTGTAGCATTACCAGTCCCATGGTAAAGTATGCTATTGACATGTGCTTTTTGCTCAGTGCTCCTGTCTGTTCAGTGTAAAGACAACTGGCAGTAGAGATGTCACAAGAGTATTTCCTTCCACATTGTTTTTCAGGGATTTGAAAACATTTTCAACAGAAACGGGACCTCACTGACTCTCTCCACCCCTCTTCATGCTCTTATCCCATTCTTATCCTACAGGAAGAAACGCCAGAATTCTACCTACTTGACCTTACAACAAGTTGGCTTTTTATTTTTATTTTTAATTTTTTTTTAGAAGGCGTCTCACTATGTTGCCCAGGCTGGTCTTGAACTCCTGGGCTCAAGTAGTCCTCCGGTCTCAGCCTCTCAAGTATCTGAGACTATATACAGGTAGGACCGTACCACTGTACCAGGAACCCAGCCGCTCTAAATGTTATTCACCTGAGAGGTATTACTGTCTCTGCCATTCATAACAAAGTCATGTTCACAAGCAAAATTGACTGTTGCTACAGAAATGTGGAAAGTCTTGCTTAGATTGTCAACCCATTCAGATATGTGGAAGTGGATACTGACCAGAAGTAATAGAAGGTTCACAGCGAGGGGCAGGGCTGCTCCAAATCCCATTGCCTTGATTGTCACTTGTGCAGCGGATGATGCTCTCCCCAATGAGGTCGAAGGTCATCCTTCTGTCTGGGTGGGGGTCACATGAGTAAGATATTTCTTTTCCATATGGAATATCTTGCAAAGCAGTTCCCGTGTGCCTCCCATTAAGGATGGCTGGAGGACTTGGACAAAATATTTCTAGAAAGAAGACAAGAGTTTTAAGTTCTACTAGAACTTAAATAGAATGTCAATAAAGATAAGAAATATAATACTGGTGCCCTGTGACTATTATTAATAGTTTTTTTTTTCTTTTAGAAAGAACACATCTAAGGTGGATGAAATTGAATCTGAGACTTTTAAAAAAATATTTATTTTTTAGTTGTAGTTGGAAACAATACCTTTATTTATTTTATTTTTATGTGATGCTGAGGGTCGAACCCAGGCCCTCACCCGTGCTAAGTGAGGGCACTACCACTGAGCCACAACCCCAGCCCCCTGAATCTGAGACTTTTGCTGAGAATGAACTGAGGTAAAACCTAATCGTTTTTTGCAAAAGCCCAAAAGTTGTTTTTATTTTTGTTTTTGTTTTTAACACAAGCCTGGATCCCTTAAGTAGCTAAGTTTTTAATGAGTTCAGAAAGTAATTAATTTTTTAGGCAACCATTTGATTACCTATTTTAAATCAGGCATAGAAAGAGTTTGGTGTTGACAATGGAGTATGAGACAGTCTGGGTCCTCAGAGACCTTAAGTTCCAGGGAAGTTTTTGTGAAGTTTATGAGGCCTATATTATCATCTTTAGTAGATATAAATCTCTCTTGGTGACTCAAGACCATTATCATCAGACCAAATATGGAATGGTGTCACCAGAAAATATTGGTAATTATAGATTACCAAGGGCACTCCACCACTGAGTCACATTCCCAGCCCTATTTTTTAGAGAGAGAGAGAGAGAGAGAGAGAGAGAGAGAGAGAGAATTTTTTAATATTTATTTTTTAGTTTTCAGTGGACACAACATCTTTTATTTTTACGTGGTGCTGAGGATCGAACCCAGTGCCCCACGCATGATGCCAGGCAAGCGCGCTACCACTTGAGCCACATCCCCAGCCTCCCCCAGCCCTATGGGCTGGGAGCGGGGGAGCGTCTCACTGAATTGCTTAGCACCTTGCTTTTTGCTGAGGCTGGCTTTGAACTTGTGGTCCTCCTGTTTCAGCCTCCCTAACCACTGGGATTACAGGCCTGAGCCACCGTGTGCAGCCCACCTTTTGGTTTTATCTTAAAAATTATCTGTAGTCATGTCTTCCTGGTTTTAGTGTATGTGTTTGAAGCAGTTCTCTTCTGGAAATTAACTTGATGCTTCTAATCTGAGGTGAATTTAGGAATTCAAGTTTATCAAAATTGTGCATAAATAAAATAAAGATCTTAGATACATCAAAGATGGATTTCTCATATCTGAGTTGTGTCCATCTGTGTTTTTCCAAAATTTACTTATATAACTACTTTCAGTTTTATGTGTCTCTGAAAGATTGAGTTTGTTGGCTATCTGAGTTCCCTATGTATTGAATGTTCTTATAAAGTTTCACTATAATGTTCACTATACAACATATACAAATACATTTTTATCAAGATATTTTAACAAAATCCATATTTAAATAAACATTTTCCAATCAACAAGAAAAAAAATAATTCAAAAAAATCTTTCCTTGTTCTAGGACACAGGGTAGGATACACTGGTAATGTCTTGTATATAAGACATGTACTTTTCTGTTTATCAATTTCTGAATCTTTATCATGTTTTCTTTTAGTATGTGGTTTAGAAATGTGGGTACCTCATCATTTCAAATACTGGCTCACAACTCTAGCTCCCATGATAATTTATCATATTAACTCTTTTATTTTCTCTATGTCTCATCACTATTGAACATACCATTTTATATATTCTAATATTTTAAAAAAATTTTACTTATTTATTTTCCTGTCTATTGTCTCTTTCCCATTAGAAAATAAATGTCATAAAAGCAGAGATGAGTCTTTTTGTGTTTATTACTCTTTCCACACATAGAAAGAACTGATGCATGGGTAGCCCTCAGTCAGTGAATACCACAGGAGACCAGGTTGAATAAATGCTGAGATACATGAAGAGATAAAAGTGCATAAAAATTTAAGAGAGATTACTCCTTAACTACACAACTAATAAATAAATGAACAAATAAAATCTGGTGTACCTTTATGTCCTCAAGTTTTTCCTTGCATTTTTTTGCACAAATTCAACATTATCCTCAAACTATGTATTTATAGATTAGTGTCATAAACACATAATCTATAAAACCTATAAGACCTCTCTTGAAATTTTTCCAATAAAGAAGTATTTTTTTAATCAATAGTTTAAAGATCCAGAAGATAAGGTAATTTCATGAGGTGAAACAAACAGGAAAAAAAAATTAGGACAGCTATCCAAGGTGCATAGTTATTCTTTCTACTCACGTTCACACACAGGAGCACTGCTATTCCAAATGCTTTTCATTTCAGCCATGACACAATGACTAGCAGAGTTGCCTTTTAATCGAAACCTTAAGAAAATAAATAAATAAATAAAGCGAGTGAGCCATTTCCATCTCGCCCTGTATCTTATCAGTAATAGATGCTCAGCTTCCTCACTTCAGCCTAAAGAGGATTTGGTTCTTAGGTGCAGGCCCAGCTAAAATTCTCAGTTCCTTAGAATCTGTATTCAGTAGCTGGCAGACACTCAGAAGCCAACATTTCTAAAGAATCTCAGTACCCTGGTACTGGCAAAGTGATCCGAGTTGGTGTCTTAATTGTCATACTGTCTCCATGGCCCACCATCACCTAGGGGCATAGGACCAGGTTTTCCCCAGGTGCCCAAGACTCATAACATTCAGAGACCACCTCTCACTGATGGCCTGCTGAATACTGCTAATTTTCATTATAGGGTCAGGAGGAACAGCAGCAAAGCAGAGAACATGTATAAAGAGGGTAAGGCTTTGTTCTCCTAGGCATTATAAATGTAATGGGCCAGAAGGAGGTTCATGGGAACACACGGAACCAAATGACCTAGGAAAAGAAGTGTGAGAGGAGGAGGAGTCTCTGCCACCCTGAAATGTTATTGTTGGATCCTGTGGTTTTTCTGAAATCTGCTGAAATCTAAAATCATTATAAAATCAGAAATCATTATTGGGTGGTGGACTTTATAAATGCCAAAGATTTCTTGGAAATTATTAAAATTTACCTCTCGATTGCCTAATCTGAGTCTCACAGACTGACAGTGCATACCACCAACAGGAGTAGATTCACATAAACATTTATATACAACCCCAAACTGGAGCATTGACCGTTATGATCCCGCTATCAAAGCCACCACTGATATGAAGACATATGATTGAAAACACACTCATCCATACACTACTATGAATTCCACTATGGACTGATTTTAACTGTCTTAAACTTTATCTGACTTATCAGTTGGCAATTTTTGTTTTATTCATCAAACATTTTTTTCTAGCAAACTTTCCATAACATTGCTTTTCTGCCTCCAAATAACTATTTATCCATTCACTTCAAATTCCACCCCAATACTCAAGATCAGCAATTGTATCTGTGTTTGTGCTTAACATTGAATTACATGTGTTAGTTTTTTCTTGTCTCCATATAGAGGTGCCACCGAGTCTCTGCCCTGATTTCAAAACTATCCTTCCAGAAGTTACCTCCTTGGATACTTCTTTTCTACTAGGTCAACCGCCTCTTTCTTGTATTAACCCTGGAGTTCAAGTTAACCCTCGTTGTCTGGTTTCTATGATGAGTCATACTCACCCTTCATCACAAATGAAGGTCACTTTTGCCCCAGGCTGTAAAGTAAGTGGCAATAGCACATGACCATTAGGGATGTGGCCTGGGAATGTATCACATAATTTCACTAGGAGAAAAAGAAGAAGAAGAAGAAGTTAAGACTGTGTGTGAGGGGCAAAGAGAATGATCTGAAAACCCAATGAGTCTATTCACCTGTACACATGGGGGCAGCTGGACTCCAGACTCCTTGGGGTGTGCAGCGCAGAGAAGCAGCCCCTCTGAGGTCATACCCTGGCTCACAGCTGTAGAACACTTCCTGCCCAGGGGAAAAGTTATCCTCGTGGCTTGGGGTATGCACACCATGCAGGATTTCTGGGGGTGGCTGACACCCTATGTGGAAAGAATAAGTCCAAATTCTATGTTTGTTTTGGAGAAATGCTGTGCTAACCCCTAAACTTTTCAAGGAGTTGGGAAATAGTATTTAAAGGCTGCAGTAATTTGGACATGGAATGTCTCCCAAAGGCCCATCTGTTAAAGGCTTGGTCCCCAGCCAGGGGTAAGACTGGGAGGTAGAGGAACCTTTAAGAGTTGGACCTGGGCTGGGGCTGTAGCTCAGTGGCAGAACACTTGCCTAGCAAGTGAGGTACTGGGTTGGATCCTTAGCACCACATAAAAATAAACAAATAAAATAAAGGCATTCTGTCCATCTACAACTACAAAAAAATTTTAAAAACTAAAAAAATAATAACATGACCTGTGTCCAGCATCTAAAGTCTTTGTGGATGGGGTTCCAGGTCAGATAAAAAAAAAAAAAAGAGCTGAGGCCTGGTGGAGTTTTAGGGCATTAGAGGTGTGGCTTCAAAGGGGATTGTGGGACCCTGGTCTTTCTCTTCTTCTCTTTCATGTCCCCAACATGAAGTGAAGTGAACAGTGTGCTTCACTATCTGCTCTCCACCAGGATGTACTGCCCCAAAGCAATAGGAAAAACCAACCATGGAGTGAGACCTTCTATAGTGTGAGACAAAACAATCATTTTCTTTCTCTACAAGTTGACTTATCTCAGTATTTGTTATAGTAACAGAAAGCTGACTAATACAGATGGGTTCAAGTATTACAGAGAACATCAAATGATATGCCACCCCCCCATTTTACTGAGGTAGCAGTTTTACGAAGAGATGTAACAAGGCCTTATAGCTAGTAAGAGGTAGAGAAATAAAACCCAATTTTCCAGATAAGGTCTTAATTCACTCGTAAGTCTCTAAGTCATGAGGTTCCTTCTCCTAGCTCTGACTATCCAGTACAGAATTATGAGTCCTGGTGGATTCTCCACCTGCATATGTCCTAGGAAGGCAATCCTGATTTTCAACCTTATGGCTCAGGTTATGAGAAGGTTGCCTAGACCCGAGCCTATTTTCCCTTCCTCCTTATAGCACACTGTGACTAATGTACAGTCCTCTAGACATGCTTACATTTCTCTGTCCTCTAAGCTGCTCTCTTAGTGACTGCACACATGGTTTGGTGGAAGAATTCTCAGATCCTTCCCTATCCCTAAGTATTAGCCATAACACCTCCCAGTTCACTGCTAAGCAACTATTGAACATAAGTCGAGCCATCAAGAAAAAGAAATCCCCCAATAAGCCAGTCCTTGTAATAAGAGGACATATTATTTAGAGACTTAGAGTGTACCTTGACTTATGGCCCTTGTGGTGGGTGCCTAGGGCCTCAGAACACATCTTTCTTACTTTCTTTCTTTTTTTTTTTTTTGGTACTGGGGATTGAACCCAGAGGTGCTTAACTACTGAACCACATTCCCAGCCCTTTTTAAATATATGTTTTTGTTGTTGTTGTTGTTTGTTTTTTGAGACAGGATCTCGCTGAGTTGCTTAAGGCCTTGCTAAGTTGCTGAGGCTGGCTTTGAACTCTTGAGCCTCCTGTCTCAGTTTCCCAAGCTGCTGGGATTACAAGCATGAGCCACCAAGCCCAGCTCAGAACACTTTAACATTTTAACACTCTAACATTTTAACATTTTTAACACTTTAACATTTTTAACACTTTGACAGCCTCAGAACATTTTAACATCAACTAATCTATGTCTATGAGTGGAAAACCTGTTGGACTTTTGAGCAAGTTATTTTGCTCTTCACTTCAGATTCCCAAGGGAAAAATGTTGGAAGTGGACCATTATAGACAAACTCTAAGGTGTCTGCCATGATTCTGATGCTGTATCTGTTTTCATAAGCTAGTCTCTTTCTCTCACTGATAGATGAAGACAGAAGCAGGGCAAGAAGCAGAGCAGTCAGACCCTGGTGTCTGACACAATTGCTTTTTAAAAATTCTGAGTGTGTCACTTAGTGGCATGTGACTTGGACAATTCATTTAGCCTCCAAAAGACCAAACTAGCTTCACTATAGAATGAGTATGCGAATAGCACTCTTTCCAAGTGTTGTTCTAAGAGGCAAAGTGAGAGGATGCCTATGACGTGTCACATGGCCTGCATGGAGAAGGTCCATAACATTCGTCAGTATAGAGAGGGCAGCTGGGACTGTGCCCAAGAATGTCAACGGGAGTGTCCCAGAGATCTCCTTTCTTGGCTAATTAAGCTTTTGCTTCTCAAAATGAAGGGGAATATACTCAAGTGCACATGCACACACACGTACTAATGGACAGGCATGCACCCCCTAATTTCATGCTCCTTCCCCTCATATTTACTCTTCAACCTGCTTACCACACATCCCTCTTCCAGAGCGCACATTAATCTCCCAGTCCACCAACAATCATGCCCTTTAGGCCTCTCCTAAGCCTCAGCCAGACTCACCCCTGGAGCAGCTTGGTAACTCTGGCTCCCATTTGTTTTGGGGCCAGCACTGCACCTGGGTGGGTCCTTTCATGACAAAGCCAGGCTGACATCCAAACTCCACTATTTCATTTAAGGAAAATAAGCTTCTGTTTTCAGTTAGCATTATTGCATTTTCAACGTGTGGAGGGGTGCATTTATTAGGTACGATGCACACTGGGGGAGGGCCGCTCCAGACGCCAACTTGATTGTCATGGCTGGTGCAGTATATGGAGGGCTCTCCCACGAGGTGAAACAGCTTTCTCCCTCTGTCTGCACCATTACAGCGATAGGTCACCACCATTCCGTAGAGGAAATCTTCTCCATTGGTGTTAATGAAATCTCCATTGGCAATGGCCGGAGGTGGCTCACAAGGAATCCCTGGGCAAAGAACAAGTTCAGCAAAACATTAATTTCTTAAAGTTATATTTAACTATAAATTTTGATAATCAGTTAAAAACATCTCCAAATTGCCAAAAATTATGCATTTACAATACTGTTCTCTCATCTTTGCTAATATAGGGATATGATTTTTTTTGCACAGTTGCAGATTAGGTGACCATAGTATTATGGGCTGTGCTTTTTCTAGTTACCACTACTTCAAAAAATGTGTTCATATATTATTATATCCCACTATTTGTTTCTCATTTTAAATGAGGATTTAACTTCCAACATTGTTAATTTCTTTCTTTCTCTGTAGAAGGCATTTGGTTTTATTGTATTGGTTACTAATATGTAAAGCATATAGTAAAATAGCTTTATCAAGTGTTCTAATTGCTGATTCAGATGTCATACTGTGTCTTGCTGTATGTAAATTTGAAAATGAACTTATTAGGAATAAAGATATATTTTGGCAATGTTGACTCAATACAGAAGAAATGGGGAAAATGTATTACAATGCTACTCCTTAAAAAATATGAAGCACAGCTAATTTTATGGACAAATTTAATTCTCAAATAATAGCTGACTCCTAGGCATTTCAAGTCATTCTAGAATAAATAAGATATTTTTATTACTTATTGTCAGATAAACCTCATATTGGGAACTTATTTCTCTAAATCTTTAAGAATATATTTAAGAAGAAGAAATTTATTGGAGAAATTGTATAAAATATAGTTAAAATCATCTTTAAAGCCATTTCCTAGAAAATACAGCTAGCTAATATGTAACCTTTCATGTAAACTCCCACATAGATGCCCCCCTCACAAAGCATATTTTTAAAAAAATAATCTTTGCTGGATGAATAATATGCCAGTATAGGGATGTGCTATATGATCCCATTTCAAAGAATTGTCTCTATTGACTCCATAACTCATTCTGGTGTATTTTAAGCATTTTTTTTTTTTTTTACTTTTATAGTAGAACACATGCCGTTCCTAAAACTAATTCCAGAAGATGCTCAACATTTAGATGACTTTCCCACCATTGTTTAATCACAAACAGTAATGTTGATAATATTTACAAAGCAATATCCTTGCAAACCCTGTGTACTTTTTTAAAAAGAATTAATAAAAAAAATAGAATACTGGATTAAAAGATGCATGCCAAATCAATGTTATAGCAGTTCAACTCACAATAGCTAAATTATGGAACAATCTTAGGTACCCTTCAACAAATGAGTGGATAAAGAAACTGTGATATAGACACACAATGGAATATTACTCAGCCTTAAAGAAGAATGAAATTATGACATTTGCTGTTAAATGGATGGAGCTGGAGAATATCATGGTAAGTGAAATAAGCCAATCCCAAAAAACCAAAGGCTGAATGTTTTCTCTGATATGAGGGGGGCGGCTGGCTAGGGAAGAATAGAGGTACTTTAGATTAGGTAGAGGGGAATGAAGGGGGAGGAGGGAGTATAGGGGTATGAAGGAGAGTAGAATGAATCAGATAATAATTACCCTCTGTGCATATATGACTACAAGACCAGTGTGATTCTACATCATGTACAACCAGAAGAATGAAAAAATATGCTCCATTTATGTATGATGTAAAAAAAAGTACTTAAATTTTAAACGCTGGGGAAAAAAGATGCAGGCAGTGAAGAGTTTTGATGACTATCCATCCTGTACTGGCCTTCTACAGAGTGTGTTCCACTTATTCTCCTACCAATTGGACTTGACGTTGCTGACGCCCCCACGATATCACCAAACCCAGGATTATATTCTTTTATGCTCTTTGTTAAATTGCAATTGCTCGTTCCTCTATGCTCTTCAAAGTGGGAAGCTCATCTTCCAAACAGCTCACAGGGAAGATGGCACATCATCCGTTCAGACAAGGGATAAGGAGGAAGCTAAGCTGCTCTGCTTCAATAGATGCTGTGATCTGAAGAGCTGACAGAGAGGAAGTAACTAACTTTGTTTTTGTTTACTTCATTAAAGAGAATGCTCTTCAAACTAGGAAGTGTTTCATCAACCAAAGAGGAATTGGGAGCTGTTCAAAATGAGCAGAGAAGTATGCAATGAGCCCTCCATAGCCACTGGTTCTGAATCCACAGTTTGAACCAAAGGGGGATTTAAAATATTCGAACTATTTGAGAAGTCTGAACAGGTACAGACATTTTTTTCCCTTGTCATTATTCCCTAAACAATACAAGATAAAAACTATTAACATAGCATTTACATTATATTAGATATTATAAGTAATCTAGAGCTGATTTAAAGTATATGAGGATACCTATAGGTTATACGTAAACACTGCCGATTTATAGAGAGGATTTGAGCATCCATGGATTTTGTTATCTGCAGATGGTCCTGGAACCAATCTTCTGCAGATACTGAGGGAGAAGTTTAGTTTAAAACAAGTTATACACCAAAATAAAGAAAATTCAGGTGGGTGTAGATGTTTGGAACACTGTGAGCAGTTTTAAGGATGTAACTATATTCTTCAAATATTGGAAAGTGACTATTTCCAAGAGGAATGAGATTCATTCTTTGTAATTCAAAGGGAGAGAGCAACTCTAGGAATAACTGGTGGGATAAATGGGCAAGCAGATTTTAACTCACGTTCACAAATTGGTGGCTCTGTGTTCCAATTGACAATATTGCCTGAGATGATACATTCAGCAGACGAGTGACCAATGAGTCGGTACCTTATGGCAAAAGAGGAAAAAAAATCATAGTGTGCACATCCCATCAGGCCCCTTACAACATGTCTGTGTGGCAATTTGGGGAGTCTAAAGGCCATCCTTACCTAGCTATTGTATCCAGCATTTCTTAATTCTCTTTCCCATCCTTTCACCATCAAAATGGATACTTCTTTAACTCCTAGTGGACAACTCTGCTTCTTAATTTCTTGGCCTTACTGTGGATTATACTAGGCACCAAAATAAAACCATCCTTTTATGCATGTGTTTAATAATTTTCTTATTCCATTCTATTTTTTCTCATATGCTATTGCTACTCTTTATTTGCACTTTTCTGATAAATATGACCCACACGACTATGTCATCTACTTGAGACTTTTTAAGGACCACAAAACTTGATGTTCTTTCAGTTCTATTTAGCAGCCTTTTTTTTTTTTTTGCAGGGGTGGGGTACCAGGGATTGAATTCAGGGGCACTCTACCACTGAGCCACATCCTCAGCCCTATTTTGTATTTTATTTAGAGACAGGGGGTTCACTGAGTTGCTTAGCGCCTCCCTGTTGCTGAGGCTGACTTTGAACTCGGGATCCTCCTGCCTCAGGTGGTGGCAACAGAAGTTAATTTCTTTGGTAGGTATTTAATTAAAATTAAAATTTTAATTCCTGGATTCTTAAACTGTGCCCCTCCCCCTGCCATGCCTGAAATGCAGAAGTTTTCCTAGTGATGACTAAGTGGACCTAATTCATTTAACTTTCTGGAATTTTTTATTACACGTACTTTGGATCCTGGTGCTGTCTTAAGCGTGCTTTTCCTTTCCACTGAATTTTATTAATTCCTCTTCTTGTTCTGATTGATTTTTTTCTGCAATATTCAGTGTCTCTGTCATATTGAAAAATTTTCTTAGTTTCACAATTGCTTAGATTTATTCTCATTTTACCATGTGAGATTCAGGTACTAGGCTTTGTGAGCCATGAACTGTCAAGTGTATAAGAGAGCACAGGTTTCTTTCCAGAGCTTGCTATGGCAGCACTGATTTTGCCTGTACTCTGAGACTGATCCGCGGTTCCCGTTCAGAGTGAGGGTGAGGTGGCACCTTCTCTGTGTGCTGAGGAAGGGAAAGCACTGACCACAGTACCATGCTTGGTGAGTTCTCCATGCTTGACATTTTCAAAGGGGGCTCTCTTAGGGGCTGAACTCTGTTCAAAGTGATTTGTGGTTGATATTGTAATACCTCTCCCATTCCTGTGAAAGTGATTTTATTTGGAAATAGGGTCTTTGCAGATGTAATCAAGTTAAGGTGAGTTCATTAAAGTGGGCCCTAATCTACATGACTGATGTATTATAAAAAGAGAGGGAACACTGGACATACACACACACACACACAGAACACTCTGTGAGGACAGACACAGAAGGAAGATGGCTACGCGAAAGCAGGAAGAGAAAGGAAAGTCTCTACAAAGAGGTTTCAAAGGAAGTAGGGTCCTGCCAACATTATTATTATTATTTTAATTTTATTTAGTTGAAGATGGACACACACCTTTATTTATTTTTATGTGGTGCTGAGGACCAAATCCAGTACCTCATATGTGCTAGGCAAGTGTTCAACCATTGAGCTACAATTCCACCTCAGCTCGACATCTTGATTGGGTACATCTAGTCTCCAAAACAGAACACCCCCGCCCCCCACCCCCACCACCACCACTGAATTTCTGTTGTTTTAAGTCACTCCTTTTGTGGCACAGTGCTGACCATGAAAATCTGATTCTGGCTCTGTCCTTCACCTTGTCCTTCACCCAGCAGTATATGAATGTGCGCTCTTCATCAGGGTTGTTGGTATGCTTAATTTTTTTAAAATTTATATTTGGGCAGATTGAGCCCAGGGGTACTCTACCATTGACCTTATCCACAGATCTTTTTATGTTTTGAGACAGGGTCTCGCTACGTTGCCCAAGTTGACCTGGAACTTGTGATCCTCCTGCCTCAGCCTCCCAAGTCTCTGTGATTTGCAGGCACGAATCACTGCACCTGGCTATTATTATGCTTTGACTGCAAGCCCCTCCCAGTGAATGCCTCACTTTTCTTATCTACACTGCCCTGGTTTCAGCAAGGACACACATTTCCCCTTAATCTTATCAGACTATTGTTCATTTCAATCAGGAGTTAAATAAACGAGTTTATACCTTTTAATACCAGGCAGTAATAGGCTAGTTGCCCTTTCTGAGATGTGCCATGAAGGTAGCATTGCTGTTCCAGAGCTCTTGGGCTAAGAGATATCGCTGCCAACTCACCCTTTATTACACGTATAATTAATTCTGGATCCAATCTGGGTGTCGGAGTCTCCATGCACCAAGCCGTTCGTAGGATCTGAAGGAGTTTTACATGATTTTCCTATAGGAAGGAAACAGTTTTGGAGCTAGAGTCATCTGAACTTTCTTAGCACATAAAGTCCCAACCTGACTGCAGTTAGGCAGTTGAGAGGAACAGCTTTTGTTACTTTAAGGAAACTCACAAACTGTCTTTTATCATCAGCCATCTAAGTACCACTTTCAAAAAGAAGTCCCCTTCCAGATTCGTTTTATCTCTGCCTAGTATTCTTCACCAAATATGAAGGTCATTCATACAAGTATATTTTGAATTTCTCAAAGGATTTGTTCCCACCAAGAAATTCAAAGAGACTATATATCTCCCTACACAATTTTTTTTTCCTGGTCTAGAATCACTCATTTTTTACTTTCCCATAGGAAATGGACATCTCCACAAACATTCCTTTAACATTCTTGTGAAATGAACATTTCAACCAATAATCACAGATGATGGACAAGACCAACTTTTATTCCCACCCACCCAAACATTTTTTGAAAAAAGGTTTTTTTTCTCATGTCCAGAATTTGAAAACATTAAATCAGATCCTATGGATGCTTTTTCAGACACCAGAAAGCTCCAATGCTGAGTTACTCACGTTTGCAGACATCTTTGGGACTGGACCAGACCAAGTTTTCTAGACACGTGATAGAGAACGACCTCCTGTAGTACCCAGGGCCGCATTCAAACTCTAAGGACGCCCCAATGGGAAACTCAGATTCTTCGGTTTGGGTTTTCAACTTAGCAAACTGAAAAGGACCAGGAGTTTTACAGTAACCTAGAGAACAAGAAACCAGGAACATGTGAAGTAACAAAACATGCTTTTCCTTCGTGTCTCTCCCTTATTTGTTTTGATGCCAGAAGAAAATAAATTCCTGGTTCTAGAAAAATAATTTCCTTCTGATATCGGGAGGGAATGTTTGATTCACAGAAGGACATCAGAAAACATAAGATCTGAAAGGCTGGTCTGCTGTTTGATCTTTCTGCTTATATAACTTAATGCAAAGATCACTCCAATTTAATTTTTTTTATAGTTTTTGAGAGCCTGAAAGATGCCTATGCTCAGGTTCCACCTGTCCTGTCTGGTTTCCTTGTACTTCAAGACATCAAAACTCCAATGGAGAGTTCATGAACATGGGTGGTTCTGAACTCAAGATGTTTGTTGGCCCTGGGCTTCCCAGCCTTCAGTTTTCTATGTCTGATTTCTGAACCAGCCATTTCAATAAGGAGGGAATAAATAGCCTCTCCTTAAAACAAAACAAACTCCAACTCCTATTCCTCCTATACTCTTCATTATAAGAGAACTTTGCTCAAAGTAAATTTTGGATCTACCTCTAGCTTTAGTTCCACACTCCTATCATCCATTAAGCTCTAGACTCAAGAAGTTAAAAACTCACTTTGGATTCATATTATACAAAATCAGGAAAGTATATAGGCTTGGGGACAGAGAAGGTTTTGGCAACACCTTCTCTCTTAGCTTCTATTTCAGCTGTCTTTCTACCTCCCTTACAGTGATCTAGTCAAAGAAGGATTGTCATACCAGAGCTTATTCTGCAGGCAGGGAATTCTCTGCAAGTAGATTTATTATAAACTGATTTCTCATTCTTTTAAATAGTTTTATTTTTTAGTTGTAGGTGGACATGACATCTTTATTTGATTTTTATGTGGTGCTGAGGATCAAACCCAGTGCCTCATGCATGCCAGGCAAGCACTCTTCCTCTGAGCCACAACCCCAGCCCCGATTTCTCATTTCTTGATCATAATTAATTTTTCTCAATACAAAAAAATGTGTCTTAATTTCAAGACACAGTCAGTACATTTCCAGATACATTTTCATGAGAAATATATCATCCCGTTTTATCTGTTTCCTTTCCATCTTAGAGTGTGCATGTTCAATCTCCTGGCTTCTAGTTCATGAAGACCATGAACTAGACCCGTCATGACCAAAACCCGTCATCTCAGGCAAATTCACACATGACGTTGGTCAGGCAGGCATCTCCAGGCTCAATTCTAACTGGTAGAACTAGGATAACCAGAACAGGGTTCTGAGGGGTGAAAATGTCATAATGCTTAAAAGACTGCCTCTGTCCGCAGTTGACTGGGTAAGTCTGCATTAGGAATCCCCATTCATACACAGCCTCATGGGTGCACTCCAAGTGAAAGGCATAGTGTTGGAGGCAGGGAGAGAGGGGGGGAAATGACTTCAGAGTGACTAGTGCTTGGTCCTTTTCCTTTTAGAGTTATTCCGCTCTCTCACTATTCCCCAGGGGTCAGTGTGTGTTATGCCAAGGTTAGGGTCCCTTTTTCAATTTGCTTCCTCCTTTCTATCCTCACCTCCTCAAAGGTGAATGTCTTGGGGGGCTGTTTGTCTTCATCAACCTTCCCCAGAAGTTAGAAATGAATAAAAATCTCTTTATTTTGCATTTTCCCCTTGTTTTTTCTTTCCACTGAACTGAGAAGCTTTAAGCTCTAGCCCGGATCTAAGGAGAAGATAAGTCTTATTTTAATGTAGAATTTAGCTTAAGGAGCTGGACATGGTGGTGACGTCTGTAATCCCAGAGGCTTGGAAGACTGAGGCAGGAGGACCTTGAGTTTAAGACTAGCCTCAGCAAGACACTGTTTCAAAAAAAAAAGGCTGGGGATGTGGTTCAGTGCTAAAGCACCTCTGGGTTAAATCTCTAGTACCCAAAACAAAACTAACAAAACAAAAAAAGAACTTAGCTCAAGGAGGCTAAAGGAATCTTTGCAGTGTGTCTACAATGCAGCCCACTTTTCAAGGAGAATATACAGGGTCATTATATATGACCCTGTATATACAACTAGGTCATTAAAATAGATTTTTGCCTGGCTTTATTCTCTGCTGGCCTATCCTTTTGTCCAAAGCCTGTGAAGATGGTATGACTTACACTACTTAAGAGTCATAGAAATTTGCTTTCGATTCTTATGATTTGAACTTATGCTCTTTGTAATTCTAATCAAGGACCTTTCTACCAACTACCAATTTCCCTCTGGCAGCAAAGGCCACGAAAATCTTACATGTTGACATATCTTAGAACCATTCATTACTGCTTTGGCATTTAATTGTGTCAAGTGCACAAATAAATATCACACTGTAATTGCAGAAATTTGGAGGATCTGGTTTAGAGATTCAGAACCCATTTGGGATATGGAGAAATATACACTTACCCAGAAGTACACAGCGAGGAGCAGGGCCACTCCAAACCCCATGCCCTTGGTGGTTGCTCGTGCAGAGGATGGTGCTCTCCCCAAAGAGGCTGAAGGTGATCCCCCTGTCTGGTTGGGGATCACATGTGTAAATCACTGATGTTCCAAAAGGAAAGACTTCCAGAGAAGCTCCTGAGTGTCTCCCATTAAGGATAGTTGGAGGACTTGGACAAAAGATTTCTGGAAAGAAGGTAAGAGCTTCAGTTTCTTTCAGGGATTTCGTCAGAGGTATTCTACCATTGTAAGGGGCTATGATTGGTGCCACTTTTAAAAATGCTAAGATGAAGCTGGGTGCGGTGGTACACACCTGTAATCCCAAATAGCTCGGGAGACTGAGACAGTAGGATTGTGAGTTCAAAGCCAGTCTCAGCAATGGCGAGGCACTTAGCAATGCAATGAGACTCTGTCTCTAAATAAAATAAAGCCAAAGTTGTGGCTCAGTGGTTGAATGCACCTGAGTTCAATCCCCAGTACAAAAAAAAAAAAAAAAAAAAAAAAGCTAAGATGACTGGCAGACTGTACAAAATGAGATCTCAAATTTTACTGAAAAATATTGCTTATCCTATATTTTCCAGATAGCTGAGTTTTCTGGATAACAGAAACTTTGTGTCTTTAATTAAGTACTCAGAGTTTTAAAGAAAAAATATAACCATTTTGAAGGGTAACTCATTCATTTACTCAACATATGTTAATTGAGCACTAATTCTGTGTCAACCACTCATCAATGCCCTGGAGATCCAGTGGTAAAAAGCACAGAGCAGGTATTTGTCCTCCACGGAGCTTACCTTGCTAGGAAATTCTTCTAACATGTATTGCATGTGTACTGCTCACCTTAAATACCTGAAACTTTCCTGGACAACTTACTGATATTGATCATCCATCTCAATTATGAGACTAGTGCTGTCACCATGCATTGAAACATACACAAGTCACTGTAAAAAACTCTGAATGCACTCAGAGTTTTTTTAAAAAAATCTCTTGATGTGTTTGTGATATATGTTTTTTTTTCCTCCTTTATTTTCTGTCAGGTTTCAAATTGTTGCTTCTTTCTGGTATCTGCTTTTGAGTTTAGAACAGTCTCTGCCTCACTTCTAATTGGCATTTCTAACTAGACTTGGAATTTGAATGAAGCTACTTCAAACAGTAATAGTGTTACATAAAGAGAAAGTCTGTGGTACTATCAATAACAGTGTGCTCATGCATGACAGTAGGTCAGCCATTTGTCACTGGTTTCAAGGAACACTGGATTTCTTGGACAGCAGAGATTTATATTTATGTAAGTTCTTACCAAGTTTTACTATCAAAACACCATAAGATATACAAGTAGATTCTTAGAACACTAAATTTCAGTAAATTTGATTGTTAAAAAGAAAATGGTACTGGCAATCTTTAGAATCAAGAAATGAAGCAAAATATAAATGGAGAAACTAGGAGAATTCAGTAGTATCTCTGCACACATAAGACTCAGTTTTTAATCAGCTTGTTATTTCTGAATCTCAGCATGTTCTGTGTGGATACAGATTTTTTTTTTTTTTTTTGGTAGTGCTGACAATTGAATCCAGGGCCTTGTGCATGTGAAGCAAGCACTCTACCAACTAAGCTATATACCCAGCCCCTAGATACAGATTATGAGAGTTCAAGGAGTATCAAATTGCCTACCTTGTCTAATGTGTTCCCCCACTTTCCCACATTACTGTGATCTATTATCTCCATAGCATTTAATTTAATTTATTTTTTTTTTGTTGGCCGCCTCCTCATTTGAGTATAAATAACACAGGGACAGGGAATTAGCTCATCTTGATCCCTGCTACAATTCCACCACCTGTATGAACATAGGGCACATAATATCTGCTCAATAAGTAATTGTTCAAATGAATGCATGTTTTTGTGTATCAGAAAATGAATAGGAAAACTATAAAGGGACTCTACCTTGATGGCAGAACAAAACAAGAAAAAAAAGATGGGAGAAGGTAGATAAGGAAGGAATGAAGTAGGAAAGAAAAAGAAAAAGAGTCTTGTCAAAGGTTCACATCATCTAATCTTTTCTGATCTAATGGCAAACTACACAGAAAATATGACACAGAACTTAGAATTCAAAATAACAAACTGATTTAGTGGTTCCAAAACCAAGAGACACACATAATGATTCAGAAGAACATACTATTAAAATAAGGAAATTGTATCAATTTCAACTAGAAAGCAGAAGAGCCATATCCTGGGAGTCTGTGGGTCAAAATACGACACAAATCAAGGAGAGAGATTGGTTCAAAGTGTCATTCCTCATACTCACGTTCACACACAGGGGCACTGCTATTCCAAAGGCTTTTCATTCCAACCAAAACACAATGACTAGCAGAACTGCCCTTTAATTGAAACCTAAAGGAGAAAAAGGGAGTGAATAGTGGATGTTTCTGACAACTGCCATTCAGTTCTTAATCTGAGGCCCAGCCTCCCATTCCACCCCCACCCCCCCCCACACACACACACAAAAAATCAGAATTTTGAGAATCTGAAACCACCAGGTGGTAGAGGTGAGAGGTTAAGTCATTCTGGAAAAAAACAGTTTCTTGCAGGGAGCAACGTAGAATGGTGAAGTCCAGCAACTTGGTCACATAATAGTCCTGGCTTGAAGTGAAGGAGGCAGTCACGATGCAGCTGCTATCTCCTGATCCCTGGACCCAAACTCAGAGCCTCACTGATCATCCCTTGATGAACCTAGCAGAACCCCTCACACTGCTGCAAACCAACCCCCCACCCGGCCTTTTTTTTTTTGGTACAGGGATTGAACTCAGGGGCACTTGACCACTGAGCCACATCCCCAGCCCTATTTTGTATTTTCTTTAGAGACAGGGGTCTCACTGACTTGCTTTGCACCTCGCCTTTGCTGAGACCGACTTTGAATTCAAGATCCTCCTGCCTTAGCCTCCCAAGTTGCTGGGATTACAGGCCTGTGCCACCATGCCCCGCCCAAACCAGCCTTTTAATGCAACCTCTTCCCCACCCTGACCCTGGAGCACAAGCAAATCAGCTCCCAGTTTGGAATCAAAAAGCAGAGAACGGAAATTGTTCTGGTGTCTCTACACTTGTGATGGCTGTGAAGAAGGCTCACAACAGAAGGTCGGGCTATTGATGAGTAAGTCTGACTATTCAAAGGGGAAAAGAAAAGAGGAGTCAACTTTTGTATGAAATAATCCAGATTTCTCAATGCATTTTGAGCCCTGGTGCCCTGCTACATGTGTGCTAATATCATGGTTTAGATGTGAGGTGTCCCCCACAAGCTCATGCATGAGACAATGCAAGAAGGTTCAGAGGAGAAATGATTAGGTTGTGAGAACCTTAACCCAATTAGTGAATTAATCCCCTGATAGGGATTAACTGAAGTGATAAGGTATGGCCAGGGGAGGTGGGTTCCCTCCTACATCTTAATGTATGGACAGTCTCTTAATCTCAGCTTTGAGGGCCAGCAGGTCAGGCAAGCTCACACTTACCCTTCATCACAAACAAAGGTCACTTTTGCTCCCAGCTGGAGATTCAGTGGAATTAGCACACGGCCACTGGGGAGTTGGTCCAGGAAGTCATCACAGGATTTCACTAGGGAAAAAGAAAGCCAAAGAGAAATAATAGTAGTGTGTGGAGATTGAAGACACAAGCTAAAAATGTCAAGCCAGACAATAATCTAGGCACCTGCACACATGGGTGCAGCCGGACTCCAGTCTCCCTGAGGTGTGCAGCGCAGAAGAGCAGCTCCTAGGAGGTCATACCCAGGCTCACAGCTGTACGACACTTCCTGCCCAGGGGAAAACTGATCCTTATTGCTTGGAGTATGCACGCCGTGCAGGATTTTTGGAGGTGGCTGACACACTGGGGAAAGAAAACCAAAGTGCTGTTAATCATATGAAAGAATTTTTCCTCAATGGTGAACTGGCTAAAAGAATCATAACTAAGGTGGACTGACACCCTTATTTATTGATGGTAAAACACACACACACACACACACACACACACACACACAACATAACATAACATGGTAGGGAGGTGTTTTACCAAAAGTCAAAAAACTTACACACTGCAGAACTGTAGCTAGAACTGACACTCAGATCACTGTTCTACCTTTGAAGTATACACCTAAGGCTACATGCACAGCACACAGTTCCTTCTAGAATGCTTCCAATCTCTGTTCATCCAGAACAACATTATTAGGATTGATGGGTTCTTATATCTTCATACTTCCTTTCTAGAAAGGCACCCCCCTGTGCAGTTTCACATTTTAGTGATAAAAGTGCCTGTGCCCAAGTCCCATCTAACAAATTTCCCCATCAGCAACAGGTTGCACACCTCTGTTCTGATGTCAAGTCTTCTCTCAGTGGTCACCTGATGTGACTGAGCATCTCCTCTCTACACTACATAGCTGGTGCTGCTTAGCCACTCATTTCATTCTGGTGAGTAGATGGACGAGCACTGAATAAAATCTTCTAAAGAACCCACAGTCATCATAACCAGAGTGCATATTGCACCCCAGGATAATGTAACTAAGCCTCTGGCTGTCTCTTCATACAATTGACTTGAACTCAGGGAATACAGATGCATGTGGGTCTTAATGAAGTTAGATAACACTGCTATAAAATGTAAAAAAAAGAAAAAAGAAACACCTTATTTCAGTTTGGCTTTGAGCAGGTTGGTTCCCCTCTGTGGACTTCAATTTTCTCCAGTGGGGGAACTGGCCTAGAAAACATGACTTTCTTAAGGACTTTACAAATATTCTGATGTTGTAATGTCCATTTTCAAGGCTCATCACCCGAGTTTTCCTTGACTGGTAGATGTACTGTGATGTGATGTTGAGGAGATGGGCTGGTTAAACTGTGCTTGACCCCAAACTTTACACTTTTTTTGTTTGTTTGTTGTTTGTTTTGGTACTGGGGAGTGAACCAGGGGCACTTAACCACTGAGCCACATCCCCAGCCCTTTTTAATTTTTGTTTTGAGACAGGGTCTCACTAAGTTGCCAACGCCTCACTTAGTCACTGAGGTTGGCCTTGAACTTGAGATCTTCTGCTTCACCCTTCTGCTGGGATTATAGGCACAGGCCACCATACCTGGCTTCACATTTCTATACTCTTTTTCTTGCCTGAAAGTCACAATCCTACGCTAGCTAGGCTGTGGTTTGTTCTGCCAATTGGAAGTATTTGCACCAAATTAAAAGTCAGGAAGATGACAAGCCATTCTACTTCTAGGGGTGGCTCCAGTAGTGGAGCTTTGACAGCTCTTAGTATCAGCAATGCCAAAGACCTTGGCTTCAGTAAGATCAGCCGCATCCTGGAAGCAGTGGTGGCACCTGCAGCAGCAGCAGGGACTGCCCAGTTCAACAGTGAGTGTGGGCATGTGTGCTCCAGTCCTGGAGTGACAGCAGCTCCCCAATCTCTGGAAACACTGCTTTCTTTTTCCTTTGCTCTTCCTGAATTTCCAACATCTTTAGAATTCAATTCCTGCATGAAAACCCTCATCCTTTGAAGAATCCAAAGTGGTTTTTGATTTCCTTAATAGATGATGACAGGCAGAGCCAAAGCTCTGGAGACAGACAGACAGACTTGGGTTCAAGTCTTCAGTTTGCAAGCTCATATTTTGCTTCACTTTGAAAAGTTATCTAACCTCTCTAAGACCTGTTATCTCTGTAAAACATGGAAAGAATAGTAATTATCTCATGGCTTTAAGTACTAAATATACACATAGCTTGTAATATGGCACCTGGCCAGATGAATCACTCGGTACATTTTAGCAATTATTAAACTCAAGTGAAATCAGTAGAGGCTGGAGGTTAGAGGCTGGAGGTGGGGTAGTGATATCTGTAGAGAACCTCTGTTTGTAAGAATCCCAAGGGGGAGTGGTGGTTGGAGAATCCCAAAGAAATATCATATTCCTTGCTCAGACTTAGCTTTGCTTCCCAATATGAACATATGTGCATGTTCTCTCTCTCTCTCTCTCTCATACACACACACACTTTTATTTCATGTTCCCTTCCAAGAAAATTTACTTATCCAAGAAAATGCACTACACATCCCTCTCCAGAGCACACATTAATCTCCCAGTCCACCAACAACTCATGCCCTTTAGGTCCCTCTCAAGCTCAGCCAGACTCACCCCTGGAGCAGCTTGGTAACTCCGGCTCCCATTTGTTTAGATTCTGGCACCGCACACGGGTGGGTCCTTTCATGACAAAGCCAGGCTGACATCCAAACTCCACTATTTCATTTAAGGAAAATAAGCTTCTGTTTTCAGTTAGCATTATTGCATTTTCAACGTGTGGAGAGGTGCATTTATTAGGTACGATGCACTGTGGGGGAGGGCCGCTCCAGACACCAACTTGATTGTCATGGCTGGTGCAGTATATGGAGGGCTCTCCCACGAGGTGAAACAGCTTTCTCCCTCTGTCTGCATTATTGCAGTGATAGGTCACCACCATTCCGTACAGGAAATATTCTCTGTTAGAGCTAACGAAATCTCCATTGGCAATGGCCGGAGGTGGCTCACAAGGAATTCCTGGGCAAAAGGAGAACAAGCTAAATGAGAATGAATTTAAATAATGAGTGAGAAAAAATGTAATGACTCACTAACTTAACTATTTTTACATTCATTATCTGCTTTTTATCTTTGCTAATGTGTAAATAAGTTCTTACAAAGTTTAACTTTAGGTGGGCAAAATAGCATCTGTGCTACCTTTTCTGTATATTTCCTGTAAAATACACATTTTTATTAATACAACCCACCCTCTTTTCATTTTAAATAGTTATTTATCATATTAGAGTTTACACAGTTTTCCTGTTTCCAACTTGCTTCATTAATTTCTATTTTTGTTGTTAACTGAGTATGGCTTTTTTAAAATATAAAAACGTGTGCTAAAAGAAGAAGCATAAAAGAAGAGAGAAAACACACATATGAGAGTAGGAAATAGAATATGAACATATTTATAATATATGTGAGTATTTATGAAGCTGTAGACTACTGTATGTTAAACATTTTGAAAATCTAAATGATATGAATTATCAAAATCCATTCAAGGGGCTGGGGATGTGGCTCAAGCTGTAGCGCGCTGGCCTGGCGTGCGTGCGGCCCGGGTTCGATCCTCAGCGCCACATACAAACAAAGATGTTGTGTCCGCCGAAAACTAAAAAATAAATATTAAAATTCTCTCTCTCTCTCTTTAAAAAAAATCCATTCAAAAAGATGTAGTAAGCTACAATTGGCCAAGAAACTTGTAAGAATAAAAGAAAAAAAATGACAGATAAGTTCTACCAAACTTTCAAGAAACACATACTTCTAAATGTAACTCCAAACATTTCACACCACATAAAAGATAGAAACCTTATCAATTCTCGTTATCAAGCCTAAGTTTGAGATCATATCTATGTAAACGTGATCATATATTTGTTCACTAAAGCCCCTAAGTACATATAAAATATAGAAGTTTTGCATAGTCTATTGTATTGCTATAAACTAGAATTAAATAACTTCAACCAATACCCTAAAACACTTGAAATGAAAAATTGAAATTCTCAAGAAGGTTTCTGCTTCTGTAGTGGTCATCTCAATAATGTGAATCAAACAATGCTTCTTCTCTCCCCCTGAAGAAAGTTTAGAAATGATGGAAATTAAAATATATATATATATAATCTGTGAAGCATCAGAGGCAAACAATTGGCAAAGCATTGATGGGCCCAGAGCTGAATATCTAGGTATGAGCTGAGCATTTGGGTTGCTTTTCCCTTGGGAAGGGGCAGGTGAATCAGGAGGAGGCAACTGGGAGGCCAAGTAGACTTTTGATAGTCTTGCAAAATCAAGGGACAAACATTACAGTTCTGGGATGACAAAGAACTAAGCATCTGGGAACTGAAGTTAATTGAAAGTAAACTTGCGCTCTCAAAAACTGAAACTATTCTTCTAGTACTGTAGGTGGCCTAGAAAAATCATAGTTCCTGAGACTGAATAAAAGCGGTCCCAGGTTGCTAGTGTTCCCTGGTGCCTGGAAGAGAAAAACAATAAAAATCTTCTTGTGATTACTATGGCTTGGATATGGGTAATATCTCCTAAAGGACCAAGTGTCAAAGGCTTGGTATACAGGGTGGGTCTGTTGCAGTGGAACCTCAGGGAAGCAGGGTATAGTGTGAGGTCCTTAGGTCATTGGGGGGTGTGCCTTTGAAGGGGATTATGGGACCTCAATATCATCCTCTCTGTTTTTAGTTCACTGACTCATGATGTATGCCGTTTTGTTGTGTTATGAGCTCTGCCTTGATATGCTGCATCTTAAAAGGCCCAAAGCAATGGCTCTACTCATCATGGACTGGAACCTTCAAAACTGAATCAAAATAAATCTGTTGACTTATAAGTAGATTACCTCAGGTATTTCATTATAGTCATGGAATGCTGACAAATGACATTATCTAAAACCTTGAAATTATTGAAGATTTTGAAAATAATTCTGCAGACAAGTTTCCAAATATAATTCCTGATACGAAGTAATAGATAATCAGGTACTTGCAGAGATAAAATACCTGAATGAGAAGCAACAAAATCAATGATGCTAGAAATTAATCCAAAAGGGCTATAGACATTGGAATTTCCATTTATAGATTTAAAATAACTGTGTTTACCTATTCAAGGATACAACATATAAAATAAACTTTTGATAGGAACTAGAAACGGCTAAAAAGAACAAGAAAAAATTGAAAAAGAACCAAATAAAAATTTAAAAATTGCAAAATACAATTTCTGAAATAAAGCATTTGTATCAGATTGATAGCACATTAGACACAGTTTAAGAAAAATCCATGAACTGGAAACTAAGCCAGAAAAAAATACTCAGAACAAAACACAAAGAGATGAAAAGATAGAAAAATAGAGAAAAAATAATAGGAGATACAGCCTATTATTATAAAATAATAATAATACAGAGATACAGCCTAACATCATGTAAATGGTGTCCTACAGCCAGAGGGGAGAGCTAATAGCACACACAACATTTAAAGAAGTAATGACTGAGAATTTTCCCAAACTCATAAATGATATCATCAAAACAGATTCAAGAAGCCACACAAGCCCAAGAAATACAAATTCAAAGCAATCCCTACTTAGACACATCAGAGGAATATTATAAAATCAAGTACAAATGGAAATGCTTTCTATATTGATTGTATTGGTGACATGCATGTCAAAACTGATCAAATTGCATACTTCAAATATGTGCCTTTTATTGTACTTCAATTTTACCTCAATAAAGCTATGGGAAAAATGCAGAGGCAATAATATTATTGTACAAATTTAAAAAAAAAATCAAGTACAATCAACCTTAAGGAAATAGAGATGATAATCTTCAAAGGAACCAAAATTAGGAAAACGTTTAAAGAACTATTGCTAGAAGACTTACAATACAAAAATGCCAAAAGGATTTCTTCATACTGAAGGAAAATTAACATAGAAGTGCAATAATGAGGGAACACACAAGAAAGAGCTCATATGTGGGTATTTAGAGTTTTAATTTAGGATCTATAAGAGAGAGAGCACCCTTTCAATGATTAAGATCCATAAAAGTTGTAAACAAAGATTTTATTACTTATAGGCCCTTGGGGTACATGGTATAGGCCAAGGTCACACGGAGATAAGTTATTATGATGAGGGGGAGATCTGTGGATCAAAATCTATCGAGATCCAGGTTGTGACCCAAGCAATTTTCTCATGAAGGGTTCTTAATTAGAGGGCTTAAAGCAGGCCCAAATTCTAGGAGGTCATGCTAAGAATGAGAAGTGGTCATGTGGCATATCTATAACATTCATGGTCATGATAATGTGACATTGTAGTATTCAAAGAATGGGCTTTTAAAGAAATGGTATTAGATCAATGGCTGATCCACTTGGAAAAACAAACAAAATCCCAAATCTTGACCATACTACACACTGTCCATACATAAAAATGAAATAAAATCGAGCTGAATCTCAGACTTAAACATGAAAGACCCAAATGTCTAGAGTATAACAAGGGAAAATATCTTAATAACAGATAAAGATTTTTTTGACGACAGCAGAAAAAGGCAGTAACTAGAAAAGAAAAATTCATAAATTGAACACTATTGAAATGCAGAACTTCCATCATCAAAAATCAATAAGAAAGTTAAAAAAAACCTAAAAGAAAATATTTGTGTTATATTTATTGGGAGATATGAGAATATATAAAGAACTCCTACAAAATAAAAAAAATATGAACTAATCAATAATAGGCACAAGGTTCAAACAGGCACTTCATAAGCATATGAAAAGATACTTAGCATTGCAAGTCATTAGGAAAACGCAGATTATTTTGAGCCATTTGAATAGGTGTGTCCACTGGAATTAACCACAGCATGTTTTTGGTCTGTGTAAACAGAGAGCTGGGTCTAGTGAATAGAAGTGTGGCTTGAATCATTGCAAAAGAGAGTTGTGGCTGGGCGTGGCCGTGCACGCATGCTAGCAATCCCAGTGGCGGGGGGGGGGGGGGGGGGGGGGGGGGGGGGGCCGGGTGGCGGGGGAGGCTGAGGCAGGAGGATCTTGAGTTCAATGCCAGCCTCAGCAAAAGCGAGGTGCTCAGTGAGACTCTGTCTCTAACTAAAATACAAAATAGGGCTAGGGATGTGGCTCAGTGGTCAAGTGCTCCTCAGTTCAATCCCAGCACCCGCCCCTCCCCCCAAAAAAGAGAGAGTCATGGTTCATTAAGCAATCCCCAGACTTAGCTAGTTCACAGACCTAGAGCAGTTCTAATGAATGGGAGACTGGATCTGCTTCAGAACGCAAATTACTACACATATAACCAAAACCCCAATATTAAGTCTCCTTCTAGCTTTCCCCAGGGGGACTGGAAGCTGTTTTTTTTAAAAATTAAGTTATTAGAGAAGAAATAAAAAATAGATTTAGGTATAGATTATTATCTTTTAATAAAATGAGATCTTACCATACATATGGTCTGACTTCTGATTCTTTTTCACATGAAATATACATCTTTGTAGTTCAAGGGTTTCTCTGTAATAGCTATATTTTTTATGGTTGCATAACACTCCAGTGTATGGATGTATATTCTGAATCTGCATGGCTATTTTATGTTTCTCAGGAAATTTTTTTATAGTCATTTTTAACGTATCATTTGCCTTGCAGTACATTATTTCTAAACCATGATTTGAAACATGCCATGCATTTGGGTTACTTTAACATTTTTACTAAATTTAACATTTATTATAAAGAATGCTGTAATCAAAAGTCTATAGTGAACTCCTTGAGAAAAATCTATTATATCATAAGTATAAATCCTAAAATGTGGGTTAAAATAAATTCCCACTTAAAGGTGTATAGGGCATCATGCATTTCAAGAAGTTTTGTTGAATCCTCAGTCCATGAGAATGCGGGTCCATTGTAGCTTCACTAACCTTGAAGAACAAATGTTTTAAAGTCTCTACTAATTTTCCAAGCAGAATGATTACTATATTGGAGACTGTGAACCAGTATAATTACAAATTAATTGAATAAAAAATATGATTAGAAGTTTTTTTTGTTTTGTTTTTTTTTTGAAGACCCCAATTTAGAAAAGGCACTTCTCAGGTTAAGGGATCATTTAATGAAGAAGTTGCCAAGAATCCCATGGGAGTGTCTGACAGCATTCAGTGTCTTCAGTCCTCTCAAGGACAGAATGAACAAAGGGCAGTTGTTGAAGACTTTTATAATTCCTTGCAAGACTCAAATGTAGTCCAGCAGAAAAGCACTTACCTAGCATGTGGGAGGCCCTGGGCTCCATTCCGCACCACAGTAAATAAAAATGACAATTCCAGAGGAAAATTAAAATCTAATTGTAACAGTGATAGAAAGGAATATCTCAACTCACTTTCACAAATAGGTGCTTCTTCATCCCAAATGACAGTAGTGTCTGAGATCACGCATTGAGCACTGGAGGTGCCAATGAGTCGGTACCTAGAAGCAGAGAATAAGGAATGTTACATATTAAAAACAGAGGAGGGTTCAGGATGTGGCTCAAGTGGTAGCACGCTCGCCTGGCATGCGTGAGGCACTGGGTTTGATCCTCAGCACCACATTAAAAATAATAATAATAATAATAAAATAAAGATATTGTGTCCATCTAAAACTAAAAAATAAATATTAAAAAAAAAAAAAAACAACAACAGAGGAAATCTATCTGCTTCAGTTGCTCCTTCCCAGAGTTTACAATCTTGAAACTTCAGGACATTTTCAGGAAATAGAGAGATTTATTTAACTTGAAAGTTTTAATGCTACAACTGTATTACTTTCTTTCTTTTTTTAAAAATACCATAACATCAATATTTATTTTTGTTTTATTCTAAAAATAAAAATAGTATTTGTTTTATTCTACAAATAAAATAGCACGTTTTGATATATTTCTACGTTGGGAAGTGATTAAATCAAACTGGTTAATATTTCTGTCATCTCATATATCTACCATGTTTTTTATGAGAACATTTAAGACCTTTCTCTTTCGAGTTTTCCAGTATACATTATTATTGACTATAATCACCATGCTGTATGACAGATTGCCATAATTTATTAAACCAAACTGAAACTTTGTACCCTTTGTTCAGCATCTCCCTGTCACCTTTCCTTCCAAGGCCCTGGCAACCTGTTCTGCTCTGCTATTACCAGTTCAATGCCTTTACATTTTACACGTAAGATCACGTGGTAATGGCTCTTCTCATGCTGTTTTGATGGTTATGGCTTTGTAGTATATTTTGAAATCAGCTATGGAGTCCCAGCTTTGATTTTTTTGTGTGTAAGACTGGTTTGTCTATTTGTGTTTTTCTGTTTGTTTGTCGTTATATTTCCATATGAATATTAGGATTGTTTTTCTATTACTTGGGAAAATGTCATTGGAATTTTGAGAGGCATTGCACGTTGAATTTGTATGGACATTTTAACAAAATTAATTAATTACTCTAATCCATGAGTACAATATACCTTTCCATACATTTTTTGTCTTCTTCAAATTTTTCATCAGTGTTTATAGTTTTCAGTGTACAGATCCTTCACCTCCTTGATTAAATTTATTTGTAAGTATTTCATTGTATTTTTGGTGCTCTTGTAAATGGCATGATTTCCTTGGTTTCATTTTTTTGATATTTCATTGTTAGTGTACAGAAATGCTACTTTTTTGTATGTTGACTTTGTACCCTGCAACTTTACTGAATTTATTAGTTCTGATAGTTTTTCAGTGAAGTCTTTAGGATTCTGTCTATATAAGAGTGTAATCTGCACAAAGAGAAAATTTTGCTTCTTTCTTTCCACTTTTGGATGTCTTTTAATTGCTCTGGCTATAGTATATTAAATAAAAGTGGTGAGACTGGACAACCTTGTGTTCCTGATCTTAGAAAAAAAAACCTATTCAGCTTTTCACTATAGAGTATGATATTAGCTGTGGGCTCAGCTATATGTAGCCTTCTTCTATACCTAATTTGTTGAGGGTTTTTGCTATGAGGAGATACTGAATTTAGTCTGATGCTTTTTCTGCATCTGATGAAATGGTCATATTATTCAAGCCCTTAATTCTGCTAATGTGGTATATCACATTTGCTGATTTATGCATATCAAATCATCCTTGCATTTCAGAGATAAATCCCACTTGATCATGAAGTATGATACTTTTTATGTCCTGTTGAACTGTGCTTGTTAGTATTTCATAGAGAATTTTTGCATTGATGTTCATCAGGGAAAGTGACCTGTACTTTCTTCTTGTTGTTAAGTAGTAGTGCCCTTGTCTGGGTTTGGTATTAAGGTAATGTTGGCCTCATAAAATGAGTTTGAAAATTTCCGTCATCTCCAATTTTTTGGAAAAATTTGAAAAGTGCTGTTGTTAATTCCTTCTTTAAATGTTTGGCAGAATTCACCAAGAAAGCCATCAGATTCTGAGCTTTTATTGGTTGGGAATTTTGATTACTAATTCAAACACCATACTTGTTATTGGTATGTCCACATTTTCTATTTCTTCATGATTCAGCTTTGATAAGAAAATGGATTTATCCACTTTTTTTTCCGGGTTATCCAATTTGTTGGCATGTACTTATTAAGAGTAGTCTCATAGGATCTGTTGTAGTTTTGTGAAATTAGTAGTATGTTCTATATTTCATTTATAATTTTATTTGGGTCTTTTTTTTCTTAGTCCAACTAATATTTTTTTTTGGTTTATCTTTTTAAAATCAATTCTTAGTTTCTTTGTTCTTTTCTATTTTGTATGCCCCTGTTTCATTTCTTCTGCTCTAATATTTATTACTCCCTTATATCTGCTGACTTTGTTCATTTTTCTAGTTTCTTGAGGTATATAGATGGTTGATTTTTTTTTTCTTTCAGTGCTGGCAATCAAACCTAGGGTCTTATGTATGCTAAGAAAGTGCTCTACCAGTGAGCTGCATCCCAAGTCCGTCTTCTCTCTCTCTCTCTCTTTCTTTCTTTTCTCCTTCTTCTTTTCTTGGTACCAGGGATTGAACCCAGAGGTGCTTTACCACCATGTCATATCTCCAGCCCTTTTAATATTTTATTTAGAAACAGGGTCTCAATAGATTTTTTAGGGTCTCTCTAAGTTGCTGAGGCTTTTCTCGAATTTACAATCCTCCTGCCTCAACCTTCCGTGTTGCTGGGATTACAGGCATACTCCATCAAGCCTGGCCATAAGAAGTTTTATTAATTACTATTTATGTTTTTCAGTCTATTTACATATATTGGAGAATGCCAACATGATCTTTTGCTTTTTTTAAAATTGAGGTATTTATCTTTTATTGTAGAGTTGTCAGAGCTCTTTATATATTATGGATACATTATCTTATAAGATCTACGATTTGCAAATATTTTTCATTATTTGTAGGTTATATTTTCATTTTCTTGATAGCATTCTTTAAAAAACAAACATTTAAAAAGATTTTGAAACTCGATTACCTACTTTTTCTTTGGTGCTCATGTGGCAGCACAAGTTTAGCTCATATTCTTTTTTTTTTTTTTTTAAGAGAGAGCGAGAGAGATAGAGAATTTTTTTTTAATATTTATTTTTTATTTTTCAGCAGACACAACATCTTTATTTGTATGTGGTGCTGAGGATCGAACCCGGACCGCACGCATGCCAGGCGAGTGCACTACCGCTTGAGCCACATCCCTAGCCCTAGCTCATATTTTTAACTTGCCTAACATTAAGAGCGAGCTGAAGCAGTGCCTTCACTGTGTGTTCAGCCAGGAGAAAGAACCAACCACAGGATCATGCTCGATGACCACTTGATGGTCAACGTATTCAAAGGGGATGCTCTTATGGATTGGGTTGTGTTCTCAAAATGACATGCTGATATAGAAACCTCAGTCCCAGGGAATGTGACTTCATTAGGAAATAGGGTCTTGGCAGATGTAACTGAGTTAAGATAAAGTCTTTAGAGTGAGCCCTAATCCAACATTGGTGTTCTTATAAAAAGAGAGAACATTAGATGTAATTATGCACCAAGGAGAGAATTCCACATGAAGAGAGACACAGGGAAGATGGGCACGTATGGTCAATAGACAGAAACTGGTGTGATGCTGCCCATGCCCAGAAAGGCCTATGGTTACTGGAAGCTGGAACAGACATGGAAGATTTCTCCTCTGGAGGTTTCAGAAGAAGCACAGTCTTGCTAACATTTTGATTTGGGATTCTAATCTCCAGAACAGAATTCCAAAATTTTCTGTTGTTTTAAGCCAAACATTTTGTGGCACTTTTTTATGGCAGCCCTAACAAACCAATAGCATTGTCACCGTTCATATTTCTTATCTCCCTTTCTTCCAATAATATCTACTCTGGTTTAGGGTTGCTAACCACATGCCCAAAGGGATGGAGCCAACTAAACATGGATAGAGACTTCTCAAACCATGAGTCAAAATAAACCTTTCCTTCTTTTAAGTTGATTATCTCCTAATTTATCACAGTCATGGAAAGCTGTCTAACATATGTACCGCCCTGGTTTCCAGCCAGGATACACATTTCTCCTTAATTCTGTCATACCTTTGTTTATTTGAATCAGGAGATGAATACATATGTCCAAGCCTTTTAAGACCAAAAAGTTGCTCTTTCTGAGATGTGACTAGAAGGTGGTTTTGCTCTTTGTGAACTCTTGAACTAAGAGATATTGCTGCCAACTCACCCTGTATTACAAGTATAAGTAATTCTGGATCCAAATTGTGTGTCTGACTCTACATGCACCATGCCATTCAAAGGATCTGAAGGATTTTTACATGTTTTACCTATGGGAAGGAAACAGAATTTTAGAGCCAGGTAAAGTAATCTGAACCTTTTTTTTAGCACGTAAAGTTCCAACCTATGGTATATCTACACATGCATATAGCTTAACTTGATCAATTTTATTCTACAGTTCTTCCTCTTGCCCTTCCCTTGTCCTTCCTTGATCTCCATGTCATTTTCCTGAGATACTCCCTTTTTATTATTACTCTTTTTCTCTTTAGCTTTGCATATGAAGGAAAGTATTTGACCCTTGACTTTCTGAGTCTGGCTTATTTCACTTAGCATGATTTTCTCCAGTTCCACCCATGTACCCACAAGTGATATAATTTTATTCTTCTTTATGGTTGAGTAGAACTCCATTGTGTCTCCCCACCTTATTTTCTTTATTCATTCATCTATTGATGGACAGCAAGGCTGATCCATAACTTGGCTCTTGTGAACTGCACTGTGATATGCATGTGGAATGCATGTGTCCCTGTGGTGTGCTGATTTCGGTTCTTCTGAATAATTATTAAGCAGTGGAATAGTTAGTTACAATGACCATTGGTGGATCTAATCCACCACTTTTAGTAATAATTACAATGCACCAATGAAGAAATGTGCACATGTTAATAAATAAAAAGACCAAAAGAGCAGAGAATGGGGAAGCAGGGGAAGGGAGATGGGGAAGGAAAGGGAGGTACTAGGGAATGAATGATGTTATGTGCATATATGGATATGTACAAGGAACTCCACATTATGTATAAGTATAAAGCACCAATAACATTAAAAAATAAGTCCCGACCTGACTATAGCTGACTGTAGAGCATATGTAATTATGATGACTCTATAGATTTTGCCACTTTGAGGAAACTCACCAGGTTGCCTTAGGCTCAGCCACCAGGTAAGCATCACTTTGAAAAGGACCCCCCTTCAATTCTTTCTTATCCCTACACGGTGGCTCTCAGAGACATGTACACTTCATTTAATATCAAAGTATTACAACTCTGTAGTTCAGCCAGACTGATACAGGCCTCAGAGCCTGGGAACTTCTCATTTCTTAGTTATTCTTTCCTTCAGAATCAATTACTACTTAGCTGTGGTTGTGAAAGCAGGACACCCCTGGTGAATAGGAATTTTTCCCTCCCTCCTGCCTTGTGATGATCACTTTTCATGAAATGAACTAATAATAGAGGTGCCAAGAACTCAAAGGAGCAAGGAGACATACTCTATAAGAATAACTTACATGTACTGTACCTTGGGCAGAGTTATGAAGTCATATGTGTCTTAGTTTCAAGATTTGAACAGATTGAATCAGACCTTACAAATGTTTGACTGACCCAAAGAAATGTCCATTCAAGTTACTCACGTTTACACTTGTCTTCGGCATTTGTCCAGACTGAGTTTTCTTGGCAAATGATATTAAACCGTCTCTTGATATAACCAGGGCGACATTCATACTTCAAAGGAGTCCCGATGGGAAATACAGATTCATCAGTTGGACTTTCAGGCTTGGCAAATGGAAACCACTCTGGGGCCTTGCATTGACCTGGAGATCAAGACCACAGCAACATCCAAGTTAATGAGGAACTTCTACTCCATTTCCTCTTTCTCTCCATATACTTTATAGATGCAATTGAAGAAGAAAAAGAACACTTTTATAACGGCAAGAGATCCATTCTTTTAGTAGGAATCTTCGAAAGATTTTAAAATACTTTATCAGTATCCACCCACTAAAAAAGTCTCTCATAGAAAAAGAAATCCAATTTCCAGCTTCAAGTTTTAGTCAATCAGAAAGTGCCCGAGCTTGGGTTTCATCCAGCCCATCTCCCTTATGTTTCTAATCCTGTAACAGGATGCTTCATGCATTTCACCAATCTTCCTCGCTCTTGGTGGCACCCCCAGATCCAGTGGGCATAGAAGACCCTTCTCTTGCCCTCAGTAGGAGTTAACAATGTTGAAAGTCGGTTACCAAAGGGAAAATAGACAAAACTCAACTACTAAAGCTGTACTTCACTTTGTGAAAGCATATATTTTCTTTTTTTAATTTGTTCTTTTTAGATATACATAATGGTAGAGTGTATTTTGACATATTAGACATACATGGAGTATAACTTATTCTAATTAGGATCCCATTCTTGTGGTTGTATATGATGTGGAGCTACACTGGTCGCGTACTCATATATGTACATAGGGAAGTTATGTCCCCTTCATTCTACTGTGTGAAAGCATATGTTTTCTGATGTATGTTCTGAATTAAATACTAGGCTTAACTATCTCCCCTAAGGCCTACCAGATTAAGTCACGGTAATAAAAATGTCATTTAGAATCAGACAACAAATAATCAAGAAGAAATATCTGTTGGAAAAATATTATCCTTTTACTTTAGCTTTGGAAATCTTCTTTCTTTTTAAAATTTCTTTTCGTCCCACAATTCCACTAATTAATTTGAATTTTGAAGGGTAGATTGAGGCCGGAGGACATTTGTATTAATCTTCAAAGAAATCTTTGGTGTTATTGATTCTGATCTTATTTTAATTTTTACTGCTATTTTCTTTGGATTTATTTGCTGTTATTTTTTTAAAGTGATTTCTTGAAATGGTTACTGAGAGTTTAAAAATTTTCAGTTTATAAGAGTTTCTAAAATTAGCATTTTAGACTATTAATTTTGTTTTAGGTGTAGATTGACTATATTCTACAAATCTTAATGTGTTGCTTTTTTTTCAGTTCAAAATATTGGATAATTGCTGTTGTGATTTCTTCATTGAGTCATGGTTTACTTGTAAGTGTTTTGCATAATTTATGAACACTTGAGGAATTTTTAAAGTCACATATTTATTAGCTATTCTTGAAATTGAGTCTTGTTTTATGGTTCAGCATGTGGTCAGCTGATGCAACTGTAGTACATGAACTTGTAAAAAATGTGTACCACAGTAATGGCCCAGGAATTTGGGCATGTCAGTGAGGCCTGATCTGTTAATCATAATTTTTCAAGTCTTTGAGATACTTCTTGATTTGGGAGGATTTTCTTATTCTACCAGATGCTAAAAGAGTTGTGCTAAAATATTCCAACTTGCCTGTAATACCAGTGGCTTGGGAGGCTGAGGCAGGAGGATCCTAAGTTCAAAGTCAGCTGAGGGAATTTAGTAAATCCCTAAGCAACTCAGCCAAACCCTATCTCTAAATAAAATACAAAAACAGGACTGGGGATGTGGCTTAGTGGTTAAGTAAGTGCCCCTGGGTTCAATCTCCAGTAAAAGAAAAATTAAAAAAATAAAATAAAAAAATTCCAACTTATTATACATTTGTCTATTTCTCCTTCTAATTTTATCCATCTTTTATTTTATATATTTTAAGGTTATGTTGTTAGGTCATAAAAATTGAATTGCTATATTTTGTGGAAGATCAACCCTTCATCATAATAAAATAACTCTATTTCTACTAATAAATCTTTCTTCCAATTCTACTTGGTCTACTTTATTGGTGAGATGAATTTAAAAAGAAATAACAAAATGGTAAATTTAATCCCTTATATATTAATAAATATTTTAAATGTAAACACATAATGATAATTTAAAGACAAGATTCTCATACTGCCACATTTGCTAATTGAGCCTTATTTGGGTTTGCATTTGCAATGCTATGTTTTCCATCCTTTTATATACATTCATTCTGTATCCGAACATGTATTCTCTCTCTTTTTATTCAGATAGTGTAGTTTTTACTGTTAATTCATTATGTCAGAGGTTCTCAGACTTAGTCTCCAGAACCCTCAGAGTCTCAGTAATTTTTTCATAGCATTCCAAATTTTTTTAAAAAAAGACATATAGTACTATTTAGTACATAAGTATGTTCAAACAACTTAAGTCTCAGGTCCATCACCATTATTTTATAATGGGATGTTGGGCCCAGCACAACTTCTCAAACTTTGTAATCAGATTGGAAACGTGACTCCATTTCCCATTCCACATGGATTTTCAAGGGGCACTTATTCTTTATCACAGCAATTGCTAAAAACCAAGCTTTATGAAGATCTGACATCATCAATAGGAACCTAGTATGATCTATGTTGAGACCAGGAGCTACTCTTGGCTAGGAGTTTGTGGTGTACACAGGGTCCAAGAGATGTCAAGAACTGCTGTTGCCATTGAAAAATTAAAATCTTCCAAAGTGCCCCTGTGAGTTTGCAGCAACATCCAGAATTGTAAGATTGCAAGGATGGAAAATTTCTGTTGTTTTATGCCATGAAGTTTGTGGTATTTTGTTATAGTACCAAAAGGAAACGAATGCAAAGGATAGAGTGTTAAAAATTTCACATCCCAAATCAAAACTACATGAGATTTCATCTCACTTCAGTTTATGGCAATTATCAAGAATACAAATAATAGCAAGTGTTGGTGAGGATGTGGGGAAGAAGGTACACTGATATATTGTTGGTGGAAGTGCAAATTAGTGTAATCACTCTGGAAAGCAGAATGGAGATTCCTCAAAAAATTAGGAATGGAACCACCATATGATCCTACCTCATTTCATGATGTATACCCCAAAGATCTAAAATTAGTATACTATAGGGATGCAGCCATACAAATATTTAGAGCAGCACAAGTCACAATAACCAAGCTATGAAATCAACCTAGGTGCTCTTCAACAGATGAATGGATAAAGGATATACAGCATATATACACAATGGAATATCACTAAACCACGAAGAAGAATGACATTATGGCATTTTTTTTAGTAAATGGATGGAACTGGAGACTATCATGCGAAGTGAAATAAGCCAGACCTAGAAAGCTGATATGTGGAAACTAATCCGAAATAAGGAAAAAGAAAAGAAAATTTTAAAAAAAGAGCGTGTGTGTGTGTGTGTGTGGGGGGGGGGGGATTCCATCAAAATAGAAGAAAGATCAGTGGAGTAGAAGAAAAGGGTTTAAGGGGGAAGGAAGAAAGATGGGATAAGGGAAGAATAATGGAATGAATCCGATCTAACTTTCCTATGAATATACCTGATGAATATACCACAGTGAATCTCACCATTATGTATGTCAACAAGGAAGTAACTAAAAAATAAAACTAAAAGTAAATGGCAGAAAGATCAGTATAGTAAAGAGAACAGGAAAAGGGAGAAAAGGAGGGAAAAGAGAACTACTGGGGACTGAATTAGAGCAAATTATATTGCACGCTTTTATAATGATGTTAAAATGAATCCTAATGTTTTGTACAAATAAAAACAACAACAATTTAAAAAACAAAACAAAACTTCATATTCACAGAGGCCTGCTTTGAACCCAGTGTGTCCTCCTCTCTAGCTATGAGGTCTTAGACAAGTTGTTGGATTTTTAGGACCTCAACTTGATCTTCTTAAAGGGGATGGTAATATTTACCTAGCAGTTTTGCTGAGAGGATCAATGGTAGTTTATACTGTGCATTTAGTAGTGTCACTAAAAAGGCTACTAAAAAGGCCCTTGATAAACATTATTATTCATAGAAAAGGGAGAATGATAATGGATTTTTTTCTGCTAAAGTGGACATGTTTTGTTTCCAAGAGTTTATTTTCACCAGGTGCAGTGGTGCATGCCTATAATCCCAGTGGGTTCCAGAGGCTGAGCCAGGAGGATCGAAAGTTCAAGGCCAGTCTCAGCAACTTAGTGAGTCCCTGAGCAACTTAGCAAGACCCTGTCTCAAAACGAAGTATAAATAAAGAGGGCTGGGGATGTGGCTCAGTGGTTAAACGTCTGCCTAGGATACACAGTCTGCACCCCACCTCACCTCCTGCAGGACCACTGACGGACACAAGAATTCCTCAAGTTGCTTTTTCCTGTTGATTATGGCTTTAAGCAGAATTGGGGACCAAGCCTGCACTTCTACTTAAGCAAAGAGGATGCCCTAAGAATGCTCAGATTCCTAATTTATTTTTACCCACCACTAGAATCCTGTATCTGTCATCTCACATTTTCTGTATTAAACCAGCAATGATTCAACAAAGGTGCCTTTGTCTGTTTCTTGCTTCATCTTACGCCTTTCTATCCTCTTACTGAGCTGTAGCCCTTTCTCTTGGTTTTCGGAAGCCTACTCTTTCCCCTGTCTATGATGGTCCTTCCTTGTGAGAAGCTTTTCACTCTAACTTCCGTTCTTCCTCCAGGTCTCTGCAAAAGTGCCACTTCCTTATCACAGCCTTCCCTGATCCTCTCAGAAATTTGAAATTTAAACTATTCTTTCTACTCCACCCCATAGTTGTCTACTCAGACGAATATACCATAGTGAATCTCACCATTATGTAAGTCAACTACACCCTCCACCCCCACCCTCCACCTTTATGTTGCCCATTATATCAATAATACTTCATTGTGCTTTTTAAATTTGTACGCTTTTAAGAGTGTTTAGTTCTGTTCATGGACATTAGAGATGGATAATGGGAACACTTTCAAGAGACCATATGCCTTTTGTTCCTCTGAGTATCTCATTCTTGTGCTCATCATCCCATTACAAGCACTCAATGCATATTTGTTGCCATGAACTAATAAACAATGAATTACCTATAAAACTTAA